GATATATTATTCCTTAGGAGTTATTTCCACCCGTACAGGTGGTTGTTCTATGAGTTTTCTTAGTCAGAAGGAAATGTTCTGCCCAAGAACTCGTAGCGCGGTATGCAATTCTCTGAGTTATAACGGTGATAGAATCAATTTACGACTTGTGGGTGTTTTCTATTAATTTGATTATCATATGGCACAAAAATTAGTGGTAGTTTGTGTGTATAATATTAGTTAGTTGAGTCGCTGGAATTTCAATATCATTTATGATTTTGTGATCAACCATCGGTTATGGCAACTGCTTAGAAGATATTATGGAGAAGATAAAGCTAGCGCTAGTCCTTAGTGGCTGTATATTATAATAAGGTATTTTTCATTTATGGTGTTTGAATGGAAAAGGATAACAGAATGTTTCTAGTAGACGTGGTGTTTTGTGGCAGAGGATTGACGTCGCGCGCCTTTAATTACGTAGGTCTAGGCTCGGAAAATCTAAGCATAGAAATGCTTCTGTTGTTGTACGGATGGTCTCAATGTGTCGGACTAACTTCCGCTTCTTTTAGGGAGATATTGATATTGAGGCTCTCTATATTGATTTGCTGGGAATGATTTAGCAAAGCATATATAGGGAGTGTACGTATTGGGACTATGGTGGGAGGTGCGGATGAGCAACGGCAACACCAGTCCTATCTCTAATGAATAAAGCTTTATTTGGTTAAATTAGTGTATATGGTCACCATGATTATCTCCAGCTATTTTCCTCTTATGTCTGGTATCATCAATCGGAACTTATAAATAAGGTAGAAAAAGTAAGATACAATTATTCGTTCGTGCACATATCAGGATGGGCGTACTTGTTCGTGTCTCGTCTTTCTACCAGATATCCATCTGATACACTCAAATTAGGTAAATGGCGGTTTGAAAAGAATAATTTTATACATGAAGGTTCGACCTGCTTTTACTCAGAATAGTATTGAAATTAGTGTCCTATGTGTATACTCAGTTATTCGGCACTACACAAGTTGAATTACTCTCTTTGTTCGCGATATAATTCGGTGTTATTATTTCTCTAGTTACTTGATGTCACGATTATCGTATAATTTACTTTATCTCATAGAATATATAGAAAATGATTATCATATCCTCGATTATAAATACAGTTTAATAGGCTATATACAGGCATTTATACCTCAAATACCAACTTCGCATATGTATGATCTATAATGTTTAAAATTGTATTACTCTTATGCGTGTCTCGGTTTACTCATATAGCGCTTCAACATGAGTTATAATATACAAGGATTAATATAGAACAGTGAAATACAGCTGGCCAATTTGTCTCTCTATACACGTGCTTACGTGCTGATCTCGACGGTGATATAGAGCTAATCTCATGTTGAAGTCTGCTTATGTTCACGACATATAGTAAGATATATCTTGGTGTTTATCGTCCCTCATAAGACATAGAAGATAAAATTGAAAAAACAATTGTTTCTTTCCTTAAATTCTCCCCGAGTGTCAAATATTTATCTTTACGTGCGAAGAAATTCACAGTTTCGTGTTATTTGTTCTCGAATTTGAGCTTATAGATATTAAATTAATTCGAGAGTGGGAGAAAATTTGAGTCACGCTGTCATGTTAGGTCTACCAACAAGATAATGAAACCGAAGCATATCAAATCATCCATATAATATGAATAGGGGTGTGCTATCCACACATCCTATTTTACTTCTCACACCCTTAATAATTTTTGTCCGTTGATCTTCTTCAATTCATCCAATCCGACGGTCGAAAATTAAAAAGGTATGTGAGAAGTAAAATTGGGTGTGTGGATATCACACCCCTATGAATAATATGACAATAGTGACTTAACATGTCGATATGTTTGTTGATATATAGTGGTCAGACTATAACTAGATGGTCCGTCGATGTTACCCAAAATTTTCTCTCACAATGGAAATGCCACCCTTGATCATCCCTCCAGGCCTGGTATAGCCCAAACCCACAGAGCAACAAAAAAGCTCTGAAAAGTTAAAACACTGAGCCCAGCAAGAATCCACCTAGCCCACCCAACATATCTAGTTCAAGGATTTGGGCCTATTTCTATAAAAATTAAGTTATTTGGTTGTGACTGGGCCCCTGATCACATGTCTCAATCTGAACACGTTCTCGTGGACAAAATGCAAAATTACATCCTCTCATTCATGCGTATATTATTAACAAATAACAACACATAACGTAAAGCAAGCATGCAAAATGTATTGTGCGTTTGATTATGATCTCAAAGTTAACCATGACAAGTGGTACAGTGGAATAGTGCGAACAGTAGTTTCGCGAAAAAACAAAAAAAAGGTCTTGAATTCAATATTTTGTAAGCTATGAATCTGCTTAATCGTGATCACGAGTAAAGTGTAATACCCAACTAACTATCCTGAATCTAAAAGACTCGGAATCGTATAACCGAGTTTCGTCACAAGTTATCTCCTATTTTTCGTGAAAAGATCATGATGTCAAATTTACGCTCCTTGTGTAATATAAAGTAAATATAATCTTTAAAAAATGGAAAAATACAAAAGATTAATTAATCGAATAAAATAATAAGGTAATCAACTTAGATTAGATCTCTACAGACTGCACTATGCAGAGTTCATTATAAGCGACAATAATTCCAACAGAGTCTATTAGGCAAATGACTCGATGAGAGTTTCGAGGTGGTGCACCCTCAGAGGCTTACAGCTTTATATTTTTCATTTTTAATGGTTAGTTCAAATATTTTACATTCATTTTTAGCGGTGAGTTTTTGTAATTGTTATGTGTTAATAAGTTTTTTTTTTTTTAATTTTATTGTTATAAATTTAACATGTGTCAAATAATAATAGAGGCCACAAAAACCCTACGCACAAAATGAATGCAGAATATTTAATGCTTGCAATTGATTTTTTTTCAAATTCCTATTGAGGTAAGAGTTGATAGGGGACAAAGATTTATGTACACGCTCAATTTTGCAAACTTGCAAACTTGAGAGTATGCCAATTGGGGAACGCAACACGAATCATTCATTCAAGTTCGAATCATGTGTGGTGCTGTCCTAATATCTAAATCTAATCATGCATTGTTATGTGTTAGATAAAATAAGTGTTATTGTCGTAAGACTGAAAGATCGTATTAAAAAGGTGAATTCAACTATGAATAATGGTTTTTGCGTTTTTTGTGTTATGGCTGAATTACCATTTTGTGAAAAGAACAAGAAGAAAAGTCTAACCCGCAGCTTTAAATGGGATACCATTATATGCGAAACATGCAATTTAAATTTAATTTCTATAACACTAATGTTAATTCGATATACGGAGATCACCCTTTGTGATCTATCTATAACTTCGTCTATATGAGATATTCCAAGTGTAGTTGGTGGATTTGGATACTCTCCTGAGCTTAAGAGGCATTATGGGCAAATCACACGTGTAGTTGGATTTTGATCCAACGGCTACAATTATTACAATTTTAGAGGGACTCCTTGTTGTGATTTGCTTAGGAGGGTCAGCCTCCTAAGCTCAAGAGAGGATCCAAATCTGTAGATAGTCACTAGGAACAGATTTGTATCCTCTCGAGGCAATACCTCGGGATCCTCCTGACCGGACAACACATGTTATTGGATTTTGATCCAATTGCTACAAACAGAAGGTCCCTCTAAAAATTGTAATAATTATAGCCGTTAAATCAAAATTCAACGACTTATATTGTCCGATCAGAAGGATCCCGAGGCATTGCCTCGAAGAGGATCCAAATCCACTGGAAACCATTGTACCAATAGTACCTTCACTTTTGTTTATTATTTCCTAAAGCCTCATGCAGTACCAGTTTGATTCCTCCTAGGCTACTGCCATGTGAATGTGTAAAAGTACCACACTATTTAGGCTTCTTTTTTCTTGGATACTGACAAGTTCTCCCCCACTGACCCTCTGATCTTGAAGTTTGAGCAGTTTGTCAGTCACCACCCACTCACCTCTTGCAATTGCAACCTGCCTTGTAGATATTTTTTTTATATACCTAAAACACGAGATCGATACGTTATATGTAAGCACATCTCCTAATTTATGTTCATTGATCTTTTTTAATTCATCTGATTCGATAGTTAAAAACTAAAAAGATGTGAGAGAAGTAAAAAATGATGTGTGAATAATATCATACCCCTATATGTTATTATATAAATAAAGAGAAAATTATATTTTCATTTGAATTATAACAGCTGGTCTCCTACCTCGTTTCTTAGATACACTGAAAAAAAAAATTCAACATGGCGCTGCATTACCCAGTCCTCTCTCTCCTCTTACTATTTCATTGAACAAGTCTTTTTCAGTCAAAATGATTATTGAGATTGAAATAACTTATTTTGATCTTTAAAGTTTAAAATCAATAGAAGTGGTTTGTGAGATTATCCACCGTCAATCATTTTGATCCCTTAGTAAAAAATCTCTGTTAATTAAAAGTATTTTTGTTAAATCAACCCCTCCATTTGAATTGTAATTTCTTCAATATAATATAAATTTGAAGAATGATCAAAATGATATACGGTAAACAATATTAAAAATCACTACTATTAATTTTAAATTTTAAAAACCAAAATTTGGAATCATGTTAAAATCATTTTTAAAAAGACTTTTAAATTTCATTACATACAAATTATACGGATCCCTTTAACCAAGTCCATCAAGTTCATTTATTTGGACTAGTGAAATTTAATCCAACAGCTACAAACAGGATGCCTTTTTAAAAATTGTAATAACTTTAGCCGTTTGAACAAATTTCAATAGTCTGGATAGATGAACTTGGTAAACTTGGTAAAAGGGATCTAAAGATGATCCCTTTCCCAAATTGTAGGCGCACATTTCAACCTTCTTCGTTTTTTGCTCATTTAAAAAAAAAGTTACCCACCATTCGCTCTCGAGTAATTAGCAGTTACCCTACCATTCTCATTTTACTTTACTTTTACCCCTTTTCCTTTCTCTATAAAACCCCTCCCCATCTCCATGAATTTACAGAGAAGGCTTTTGCAGAAGCAGAGCAACCCTGTTTTCTTCTCTTATAATCTCTCAAGTCTCAGCCATGGCCGCATTGCTGAAGACTAGCCTCCCCCTCATGCTCCCCACCCTCCTATTTCTCTACATTTTAGGTATGTATACACATATATCTATATATAAGGTTTATGGCTTAGGGAAGTAATTTTCGCACGATCTGATCTCTTTCTGCCCACTCTTGTTTATTACTCGTCTTTGTTTGTTCAAAAGAATCAAACGATAGAACTAAACAGAGATGTGCAGAACGAGAAAATGAGCGTGCGAAAATCATTACTCCATAGTCTGTATTTATCTTTCTCAAACAAAATGTGATTTCGTTTCTTGTGCATTTATTTTTTCATAAACCAAGTTGGTTTTCTAACTTGATGATGTTTTTCGTGTGACCTAAATGCAGTTTCGGTCTCCTCCGCCACAACAATAACAATGTACAACAAGTGCACCCACCCAGTGTGGCCAGGCATCCAGCCGAGCGCCGGCCAGCCTATCCTTGCCCGCGGCGGCTTCACCCTCCCACCCAACAAAGCCCACACCCTCCACCTCCCCGCACTCTGGTCCGGCCGCTTCTGGGGCCGCCACGGCTGCACATTCGATGCCTCCGGCCGCGGCCGCTGCGCCACCGGCGACTGCGGCGGAAACCTCTTCTGCAGCGGCCTAGGTGGCACCCCACCCGCCACCCTAGCGGAAATCACCCTCGGAAACGAACAAGACTTCTACGACGTCAGCCTCGTCGATGGCTACAACCTCGCCATCTCCATCACCCCGTTTAAGGGCTCCGGCAAGTGCAGCTACGCCGGCTGCGTCAGCGACTTGAACATGATGTGCCCTGTCGGCCTCCAAGTCCGCTCCCACGACAACCGCCAGGTGGTGGCGTGCAAGAGCGCTTGCTCTGCTTTCAACTCTCCGAGGTACTGCTGCACCGGCAGCTTCGGCAGCCCTCAGTCGTGCAAGCCGACGGCGTACTCCAAGATCTTCAAGGCGGCGTGCCCCAAGGCTTACTCGTACGCTTACGACGACCCCACCAGCATCGCCACCTGCACTCGCGGGAACTTCTTGGTCACCTTCTGCCCTCACCACCGTTGATCTCATCTCATCCATCTTAATTATTTATTATCCCCTAGTAGTTAATTAAGGTTTAATTAATACCGTATTACTGAGTTAATGCTCTGTTAACCTTCAGTTTATGGTTGTGCTTTAGTTGCAGGGTTTAAGGGTATCTGAATTTCTTCTATATTTTAATGTATGGATGTGATTAGATGGGAAGGTGAGGGGTATTTTGGTAAAATGAGTTTTCTCAGTTCTCTCTGACTCTGGTCTGAGAAGTGTGCCAGTTTTGGTATCCAATAGTCTGCATACTGCTGCTGATTTTTCTCTCTTTTTTGTGGTCCTTGATTTTGTATATTTATATTAGTCATGTGTTATCCACACATTTCATTTTACTTTTCACATTCTTGATAATTTCTGTCCGTTGATATTGTTCAATTAATCCGATCCGACGGTTGAAAATTAAAAAAGTGTAAAAAATAAAATAAAGTGTGTGGATATCACAACTCTTTATGCTACCCACACGACAATAATTTTCTCTATCACCACTAAACCACACACCTTAACCTAAGGACAGATGGGACATATTTTTTCATGGTACTGAAAATTAAAGTAGCACTTCACGTGTATTAATTGCAGTGAAAAAATATAATATTTTTTCGTGTTTTTTTACTCATTTTATGAGACATAGAGTGACATTTTGAAAAATTTCTCTGTATCTAGAATTCTAGTGTAAAAGATTCAAATTCTCTAAGACCAAAACACACTGACATCGTGCAAATTTTTATCAATGTTTTAAAAGTGAGGCATGTCCTCGAGTGCTTTTGGGGGAATGTAGTCAATCTATCGGGTCATGTTATGCGCGTATCAACATATGCGAATAGCTTTTGAGCAACCTTTTTAGGGTTGGTTTGGTATTGCTGTATTTTGAAAAAAAAATTCTATTGTGTTGTGAGAATAAATTCATTTTCGCTACTTCACGTTTTCAGTTTTTTTTTTTCACAAAAAACTGTGAAAATAAGTTGTTTTTAAAATGTTTACCAAACACCTTTTTGAGCTCAATTTTTTTAATACACACTTTTTATAAAAGTATCAGTACCAAACCAGTAGTTAAATGAGTATTGTCAAGTTCTAACAATGCGCAAAATGAGGCAAACATTTTATCGATGGACACTCCTTGGTTTCGTACCATACATTGGAATGGTCTCTGAGGACCTTCCCAGGCCTTATTTGGGTTTTCTGTCGATCCTTGCCCCTTGGATCATCCTCGTCTCTTATTAGATCCTCTCCTCAATGATCCGTGGACCATTTTAAACTCAATCTAAATTAACAACAAATACTTCACAGTATTATAATCTAATCTAAATTGCAGATTCAAGATTCGATACTTATTTGAGGTCCCTTATTATCGATTGTATTGACATGTGTTGATCCGATAAAAACTTGAATTTGAATGCAGAGAAGAACCATAAAATTTAAGTTGAGAGGATTTGAATTTGATTGTGCTCTACCTTACTTGTCTACTCAAATCTGCAAATTTCTCCTCCTAATTCCTACGTTAATGCAAGCTTTGCCACACTTCTCATAAATCCTGACAAAAAGGTGGGCAATTTCCTAGGGATCCTTTGATGGTGACCGTTTATTTTTTATCGTGCGGTCAGTTTTCGTTTGGTGATCATTTTCCTTGGGATCCTAAGGATCCTTTGATGGTGACCGTTCATCTTTGATCATGCGGTCAATTTTCGTTTTGTACTATTTATATTTAATTTCAAATTTTAAAATAATTTTTAGTCGCACAGATGTACGATGAACGGTCATGAAATCATCCTCGCCGGATCCTTTCGCTTTGAACTTTGTTGGCATCAATCGATCAATCTTGCTTTTTAGTACTACTGTTCGTCCATGTTTACTCTTTTTCGGCCCTATGTTCCCCGTTCATAATATAGATTGTCAAATTATGGTAACCTTTGCAGAAGGAACTAAGAATAGGGGTGTGCGGCGCACTCTTTTTTTATTTTTTGCACATCTTTTTAATTTTCGATTGTCAAATCAAATGAATTGAAAAAAATCAAATTACATAAATTTATAAAAAGTGTGAAAAGTAAAAAGAAGTATAGAGATATCATACCCATTAAGAATATTGGGAGAGAAATTTCCTTATGCATTCTAATGGTATCGTTTAATATTAAATTGTCACAAGTTCAAAAAGTGTATTATTAATTAAGGAGACAATTGATTAGTATTGCATTAGTTATATAAGAGAATCTCTAAGTTAGATGCAATGATGCATGTGTTTCTTTTTTTGATTTCCTTGTGCTTTCTGACATATTTTTGCCATGCATTGTTTTCTTCTAAATTGGGAGCTTATAATTATCAAACAAAACATTATATCCTAATTCCTGCAAAGTTCGAAGAATAATAACTATAAAATACTGACATGATTCGTCCTATAAAAGAAAGGATGATGTTAGAGAGATTTATCTTTTTACACCATATTTTATAGACCACGCGATTTGATAGTTGATAGTTGGATTCATTTTTTTAAATCTTAAAAAATGAATTCAACCACCAATGACCGCATTATGTGATTTACAAAATATAATTTGACAAAATGATTTCCCTAGCATTGTTCTAAAACAAATCAATTCGACTTGATCATCTAGACAATTTACAGTGCTCCAAGCAAGGATGGATTCGGCGACAGAACCGGACACATATCTTATCTTTCTTTTCAAAAATTATAGAGTAGACCTACTCACAATATGAAACAGGTGAACGAAGAATAGGATGTGCGTTCAAAGATTCAAAGCTCCGGAGATCATGAAAGGTGAAGATGATATGACTGTAAAGAGTGAGGGTTTTGGGCATCTCATTGATTCTACGTGTAGAGGACGTTTTAATGAAGTGTTTGACATATTGCGGACGATATGCCACAGGTGAAGAGTTTGACGGGATTTTGCTTATGGACAAGTGATAGATTCGCTTTGCAAGCCGCCAGAATCATGGGGGGTCGAGGATTGCTTATCTCATGAGGAGCAAGGGGTTAATTTGTTCCGAAGCCCACGTCTTCTAATTCCATTTTACATGGACTGAGCAAGGAGTGAGAGGGAGGTTGCATGAGGGATTATCAGTTGCTACAAGAATGAATAAACTTTGGTTACTTTCCATAGTACGCGAACCAAGAGATTTAGACCGTTTAAGAGAAATAGAAAGAGATGTGAGCCGTTCAAATTTTTGCGTTTTTATGAAGTAAGCCAATATAATGGGCGAATAGATGATGTATGGTTGAATTGAGTGTTCCGAATCTCTTGGTTCACTTGCTTCGGACACATAAATTTGAAGATCCCTCTAACACAAAACTATTATTCCGCTCGAAGCATCAATTGTGACAGCATGTCCCTAAAAAGTATGATTTTTATAATTTTATTACGTGAAATTACGGGAATACCCTAGGGGCAAAGTGTAATTTTTCGAGGACGCATGTGATTCTCGTATATTTTGTCATGTTTCTTGACATATTTGGATAGAGCTCGATCTTACGGACGCGTAGGCACAAGTAGAAGTGAAATTGGGGTTACAGTTTGTTGACCCTAGAAACTACAGAGCCTACGTGGCGCGCAGGCCGAGTATTTTCTAAGCTAACTACGTCCTTCAGTGATTGCGGGGCGTGCCAACTCGTCGGCCGAGCTCGGCCGAGGAGTAAATTTGATGATGTTGCGTTGGGTCGCGCTACTGACTTCTGTGTCTTGCGATTGCGGCCGAGAAAGGAACACGTCTCGGCCTCTTGGGTTCTCAAGCCTGAAGACAAGGCTGCTAATTTGCAAAGTTCAATCTCAAATTCGGCTGTCAATGTGCCGAATACAGTAACCTGGTAACACCTCACTTCGCCGAGAAGGCTGATGAGATGACCTCGACCAATAAGGATTCGGAAATCCTTCTCGACCGAGACTTGGATAGGTAACCAGTCGTCCTCGCCGTAGTGCTGTTGATGCCAACGGAAGATGCTGCGAGATCGGCTGATTCTACGGTGACAGAGCTATCTATGCCGACTTAAGATATCACCGGTTGCCTTCACAGTGCTGTTGATGCCAACGGAAAATGTGTCGGCGAAAAAAGAAAATAAAAAATCTCAAGGTGTTGAGAAAGTTTGCGCAGGGCAGTTTTGTGTGTGTGTTGGAGGTCTCTTGAATGATGCACAGCCTCCTCTATTTATAGCACTAGATACCTTTGAAGTCGAGTCAAAACCCTACTCGAACTAGGTCTTCTTCTCCGGATCAAACACCCACTCGACCAGTCCTATGTTTACTAGGATTGTGAGCCTAGTCCTCCATTGAGCCGGATTCACTTCCGGGTTATTACCCTTGCCGAGACTCCTTATCGCGTTAGGACTCGACTAGTAAATGTAATATGACCTAGCCGACCTAGGTTTAGGAGCCCACGTACTAAATGATCCAAGGCTCCCCTGTCGCCAGGCCTCCCGGGCCGAGAGTGGTTCTATACTCGGCCCAACATGTTAATTTGAGCCCAAACACTCTTACTTGAGGATATAATTTGCATCATATCCATCCCGTTTAAGAATATGTCAAGATAATTCAAATTAAAAGATAATTATGATAAAAACCATAATATTATCTTTTAACAAAAATATTTTCACTTTTCCATCCGACGGCTGAGAACTATGTTTACTCTACGGTCTCGATTACACGGGCCGATGATGTAAATTTGGGTCCAAACACAGTTAAAGTTTTGTTGAGTTACAAACCCGAAAGTATTTGGAATGAATCACTATTTTTAATTATCTTACACTATATTTTATTATTATTACTAAATGATTTTTTAAGATATATATATTTTTTGTGGCTGGTGGAAAAAGGGGGGAAGGCTGCCTGATGGCAGCGAATGAGAAGGGAGGAAGATAGCACATGAAGGACTGGGAGAGAGAGTGCCCAAATGGGAAGAGGAGAGAGGAAGGTGAGTGACCAATCAGAAACAGGAGTAAGGAGGGAAAGGAGATAAGAAAATGGGGGGAAAAACGGGTTGGCCCGTGTAACCCAACGGGCACCACCCACGCCATCACGTTCCCAACACGTTTTCATTGGTTTTTCCAGTAATCTAACCCTCACCACACCTAAAAACTAATTCTTATCTTTCCCTCTTCCATTTCCAACTAAATTTTATTGGGTTTGAGCTTGAATTCCAGTAGAACAAAACCGTGGGTGTTGTGGTGAAATCCGATGATCGTGAAGTTAACTTAGCAAATTATCACCACCACTAGGTTCCCCTCAACTCCAGGAACAAAGCCCATGTGTTATTTGGGACGTTGGAACGGTTGG